GGTGGAGAGATGGCTTAGGAATTAAGAGCACTGACTGCTCTTCCAGAGGACCCAGATTTGATTCCCAAAATCCACATAGCAGCTTACAACTGTAACTCAATCATAAGGTACACAGATATGTGTGTGTGTGTGTGTGTGTGTGTGTGTGTGTTGTGTGTACATATACATATAGAAGCAAAACATCTATATACCTATATATACATATATATATATACACCTATATATAGATAAAACACACACACATAGGTAAAACACCAATATACATAAAATAAAATGAAAAAAAACTGTATCAGGTTGAGTATATTGATATGGGACCACTGAGTGGAGATTCTAGGTTTAATATGGAAGCTTGCACAGTTACAAAAGGCATGGTGGCACACACCTTTAATGCCAGCACTCAGGAGGCAGTAGCAGGTGGATCTTTTGAGCCTGAGGTCAGCCTGGTCTCCAGAAGAAGTTCCAGGACAGCCAGGGCCACACAGAGAAACCCTGTCTCAAGAAACAAAACAAAACTAAAGGTATTTAGTAAAGAATGGCCTTGCTGGGCGGTGGTGGTGCACGCCTTTAATCCCAGCACTCGGGAGGCAGAGGCAGGGGGATCTCTGTGAGTTTGAGACCCGGCTGGTCTACAAGAGCTAGTAACAGGACAGCCTCCAAAGCCACACAGAAACCCTGTCTTGGAAAAGAAAGAAAGAAAGAAAGAAAGAAAGAAAGAAAGAAAGAAAGAAAGAAAGAAAGAAAGAAAGAAAACAACAACAACAAAAATAGGAATGGCCTCCATGGGCTCATATATATGAATGCTTATCCCCCAGTTGGTAAACTGACTGAGAAGGATTGGGAGGTGTGGCCTTGCTGAAGGAGGTATGTCACTGGGTTGGGCTTGGAGGTTTCAAAAGTCTATGTCAGGCCCAGCATGTCACATTCTATGCCCCTCTCTGCGCTCCCCCACCTGCCTGTGGATCAGGTTGTCGTAGCTCTCAGCTACTTCTCCAGCACCAGCTCCCTGCCACAGTGATAATGGACTAACTCTCTGGAACAGTGAGGCAGCCTCCAATTAAATGCTTTCTTTTGTAAGAGTTGCCTTGGTCACAGTGTCCCCTCATAGCAATGAAACTGTGTCTAAATTACCTTAACCTGTGTCCATTCTATCATTCTGTCCCTGACTAGTACAGCTACATAACAACAGGATGGAGATGTAGGACACGCTGGCTCAGGAATGGGGACTAGACACTGATGGGCATAAGAAATGGGAAGGATAGGCAGATAGAAAATGAAACTAAGGCCCACAGGGTACCTCAGGGGTTGTGTTACCACTTGGCCATTTGTGTCTGGAGGCTCAGAACAGAATTTGGAAGAAGGGAATAACTTGAGAATAGGGTGAGGCCGAAAGGTAGACAGACTGTTCGTAAAAATCAGGACAGGACAAAGAACACCCAGGTGACATGGGGTGAGTGGGGAAGAATGGGGGAGCCTGCAGTGTGAGAGTCCCAGAAAGAGCAGCATGTATGCAGCAGGTTGTGGCAGGGTTGGGGGTATTAGCCACACAAAAATAGAAGCCCATAGGCTTGGGACCGCAGCCAAGACCTGTGACCAGGAGAGGAGCAGAAGTGGGAAGACTAAACTTGAATCTTTCAAGGCCATTCAGAAATGGATACCTGCTACAGAGGCAGAACCTACCCAGCCTCAGTGACAGGCAGGTCTCTGATACCTGCTCCACACCTTGGTACATCCTTATCTGTAACATGGGATGATGAGCAGAGGAACTGCTATTTACTGTACTCTTACTGTGCACTCAATCCAGGGCTCTTCCTCCACGAATTTCCTCATTCAATTCTTAGAATAGTTCACCAGGCTCACATTATTATTGTCCCCATTTTATAGATCACAAAACAAGGCAGATGAGAACAAAGAGGTATGTCACATTGAGAATGAGTGCAGGAGCTCAAGAGAAGGCTCGGTAGTCAAGATAGCTGCCGCTCTTCCAGAGGACTCAGGTTCCCATCACCCAAGTAGAGGCTCATAATTATCTGTAACTTCAGCCCAGGGTATTTGACACCTCTGGCTTCCAAGGGCACCTGCACTCATGTGCACATGCCCACATCCAGAAACACACATAAACACACCTCTACACATAGTAATTTTTAAAAATGGAGCTGGAGAGATGGCTCAGTGGTTAAGAGCACTGGTTGCTCTTCTAGAGGACCCAAGATCGATTCCCAGGATCCACACGGCAGCTAAAAACTAACTCCAGTTTCAGGAGATCTGTCACCCTCTTCCAGTCGCCTCAGACACTGCACACACATGAGACAGGCTTACTTGCAGGCAAAATACCCACACACATAAGATTAGGAAACTGACATCAGTCGGTGAAATTCAAACCCAGAATTCAAGGCTAGAACTTGAACTCTCAGCCTTAACATCATGCTGCTAAGCCATACAAGGCACTTCACAGTTTGCAGAGCATCTGTATTACTTCATAATGTCACTGAAGGGAAAAATGAGATGACCCACACATCCAGAAAATTGCTGAGGTTACCACATGTGATCATACTGATTACTGGCCCTCCAGAGATGTCCATGTCCTAAGCCCCAGCATGAGAACATGCTACTTTACATGACAATGGGATTTTCTGATGGACTAAATTCTAAGATGGGGGATGACCCTGTATTCTTAGGACGGCCAGTATGAGTGATAATGGGGGCCACATGAGCAGCAGGAAGGCCAGTTAAAGAGATGCAACAGTAGAGGCAGAAAGGCTGAGAGATTAGGTGAGATTGAAGAGAGGACAAGCCACAGTTTGAACCCATTCCTGAATGCAAGCAGCTTCTAGAAGCTGGAAAGGCCCAGAAGAGAGTCCCCCTGATAGCTTGCTCCAGGAGCCAGTCCTGCAGACGCCCTGACTAGCCCATCAACACTGATTCTAGACTTGTGACCTTCAGAATGATGACATCATGAATCTAGGGAGCACTAAGCCAGTCATTTGTTTCTACAGCAATAGGAATGAATACAGTCACACACCCCCAATGGCCTGCCTAGCCAGCCCTGGCTCCACTGCTACTACAGCAGACACTTTGACATTTTTAAATGATTCCTTCCTAAACCTCAATCTCTCCTTTTGTTAAAAATTAAAACAGGGCTATCTCATCTGACCCTGCTTCTCTGAGAAGTACAGACTTCTCAAGGATGCTTGTATGGTTGAAGTTTCTCATTGGGCACTGGCTGGGGTAAGGGTGGGTTAAGGGCAGAGAGGGAGTGAGGCCTAGTTATTACTGCATTAGTCCAGTGAACAAACTAAAAGTCAGAGAGTAGAAACAACCTGCCTAGAGCCACACAGATAGTGACAGAGGAACTCACAATCCTCCTGCCTCAGCCTCCTGGGTACTGGGATTAGTAGTGTGTGCCACCATGCCCCGCCCCACTCATTTACTCATTCATTCATGAAACATTTGCTAGGCTTACTGTGTTCCCAGTGTCAAGGAGAGCATGGTTGGGAACCTAGCTCTGTCCTTGAGATGCCTGCAGTTTAAAAGACAGGAATACATGCGGGGCATTGGTGGAGCACACCTCTAATCCCAGCACTTGGGAGGCAGAAGCAGACAGATCTCTGTGAGTTTGAGGCCAGCCTGGTCTCTAGAGTGAGTGCCTGGATAGGCTCCAAAGCTGCACAGACAAACCCTGCCTCCAAAAACCAAAAAAAAAAGACAGGAATACAGACTCATGGTCTCCAAACAGCCAGATAAATGCTGAGACAAATGGAAGGAAGCTTAAAGTGCTATGGGAACTCAAAGGAAATGATGCTGATAGAGCCTAGAATCAGGGAAGGCATCTAGGAGGAGGTGACAACTGCACAAGAGACAAGAGGACTCAGCACAGAAGTGTGGCCCTAGAATTTCACATGGAAGGGATGGTTCAGCTAGACATATATGCTGTAGCTTCCTGAGGGCAGGGAAGGAGTTGGGTCCTTCCAAGCCTCTCTGTCCCTCTGGGCCTGTGTTCCTGTAAGTGAAATGGGAGCTGTAATATCTGCTGGGCCCTGGGGAGGGTAAAAGTCTGTGAAGAAGAGCAAGGTGGGAGTGCAAGGGAGGCGAGGTCGTGGCTCAGGCATTCACGGCTCATCTAGTCATGGTGTGAATACAGGTATCTCAGAGCCTTGGTGACCCCATCTGAGGAATAGAGCATGAGCCAAAACTGTCTCCAAAGACCCTCCCCAGCCTTGACAGGGAAATGACATGACACAAAATTACAAAAGGGTCTTTATTTATAAAAAGCCAAAGGGGCCCTTGGAGCAACAGGACAGGAGGCAGGCAGCTTCTCAGGGGTCAGGGGCATTTGGGCAGATGCGCTTGAGTGGGGGGGCGCCCTCCGAGTCCTCTGTGTCACCCTGGGCTGCCTCAGGGACAGGTGGCACTGGCTCAAAGACAGGGTAAGCTTCAGGGGCCTGAAGAGGAAGGGCGGACAGGTGTGAGCTCCACTCTGACCCAGGAGTACAGCCTCCTAGCCTCTGCCTTTTCCACTCTACTCCCCTGGGGACCCAGAGTCTGGCCCAGGACCAAGTGACCAAAAACAATGAAACGCTGTTTGGGGGAAAGAACTGGATTTTTCTGGAAAGTGAATCAAGGTAGTCCTTGCAGGGAAAGGCAAGGACAATGTCTTAGGCTGACTTGACAGCTCAGGATGTATGTCTGTGATGCAGGGGACCCAGGCTCTTTGTGCACACTGAGAGAGCGAAGCAGCACCATGCTGCACTCTGAGCCTACACTTTTGTTTTCTAACCCTTAGAGGAATCAGCACCACGATCATTTCAGGCTCTCCATGCTCTTAAATCAGCCGTGATCCAGCCCTCAGGACGGTGTCTCTAAAACATTCCTCTTCCCAAGATTCCAACCTCTACTAAGCCTTTCAGTGAGTTTGAGGTCCATATCTCCCTCCTGGACCCTAGAATGCAGCCCCCAGACCCTATTCCCCACAAGGCCAGAGTCCAGCCTCTGGCCTTTCTCACCTCAGCTTCCAGCAATTCTGGAACAGGCTCCTCCTTGGTCAACTTCGGGGGGTCATCAGTACCGCCTGCGGGTGTACCCCCTGGGTCTGGAATGTCAAATGAACAGACAGCTCCTGAGCAGCCACTCTGTGCTGGGAGAACAGGCAGGGGGCAAAAGAAACGGGCAGGCACCCATCACACAAGACAACACTGTAGGAGCCAGAGGAGGGCACCAAGATGCCCAGGGAGGAAGATTCAGGTTGGATTTTGTTCATAAGGAGTGAGCCAGGAGACAAGCAGAGGTAGAGCAGAATTTAGGTAGAGGGAAATTCTATGCTTAGTAACCACAGTTTCTATGTTGTACTAAATCTGAATCCTGGCCTTAGGCAAACTATTTCTCTGAGCCTCAACTAAAGCACCTGCAGAATGGGAACAGTGACAGTAATACCACAAGAGACGGCTATGAGGATGAAATGAAGCAATACTGGTAAAGCCCTTAGCACATAGTATGTGCTCGGTAGGTGCTAGCTAGCATTTCCATTCATTCATTTTTGTGGTATGAGAAATGAGGATGTCAGACAAGCTCTCTACCACTGAGCTGCATCCTATCATTTCACATTAGCAAAGGTATCTGGAACAATCTAGACATGGTCCTGAGGCCCGCCCATGTCGTGGTGTTCTTGTCGGGGGAACGATTTCAGTGGTAACGGTTTGTATGGCCCCAGTGTCAAACTAAAGAACCAAAGGCTGCTGGGTGTTGGTGGCGCACGCCTTTAGTCCCAGCACTCAGGAGGCAGAGACAGGTGGATCTCTGAGTTTGAGACCAGCCTGGTCTACAGAGTGAGTTCCAGAACAGGCTCCACAGCCACAAAGAAACCCTGCCTCGAACCCCGCTCCACAAAACAAAACAAAACAAAACAAAACAAAAAGAACCAAAGGCCATGTGGAGCCACTGAAAGAGATGAGGCAGAAAAATAATCATTTGAATTTGTGCTTCAGGAAAAGCTGTTCTGCAGCTGTGTGGAGACCACTAGGGACAGGCGGGGAGGCCAGAGCAGGCAGAGTAAGAAGTGAAAAGGCAGGGCCCGAGGCACAGAAATCAGCCACACTTGGGAAGCAGTACTGACCAGACAAAGGACCGACTATATGAAGAGAGAGGCTGAAGAGGGCTCAGGCCCAAGGTGTTGGCTCACTGGCTCTGTGAGTCTGGACATCTTTCTCTGGATGACGGGCTCCTCGTGTATAAAGAGCAATCGTAATAGGATCATCCTCCCATAAAGTGACAGTGAAGATTAAACGAGAAAACAAAAAACAAACGTTGAAGTGCTCAGAACACCTAGCGGGGAAGGGGCTTTGCTAGCCGTTACTCTACAGCTATTAATCTCTCTGATCATCAGAATCACTTATTCCCCCAACAAGTATTTCCTGAACATCTATTATGTATCCCACAGTACTCTGATGTTACAGTAATGAGCGAGATTGGCATGACTGACATGAGATGGTAACAGGAAAAGACAATAAGCAAGCAAAGAAATAAATATGCATAAAAATTTCAGATGGTGATGTGCTACCTACAAATCTAAGAAGCCAGAGGACTGAAACAGCAGCTAGATGTAATTTCTGCCAGGGTCAGGGAAGGTTGGGGGTGGGCAGGGCAGGATGGGGAGAAAGGACATGACAGAGGAACAAGAACAAGATGGTGGGTTCAACTTTGAAGAGGAGAGGGCTCCTGAGAGCCACCTGGTCCTACCTCTCTCTTGGCCCAACTGTGGGGGCTGAGTATCCTCTGTAATAGCTTCTGGGGGTCCAGTCGGGGACCCAGGACGGCTGGGCTGAGGAGTCCCCCCAGGGCTGGGCTCAGTGCCCTTCTGCAGTGAACCTTCTGAATGGAAACTCTGGTTGCTGTTCTCATCTGCTGAAGCAAAAGCCGAGTTGTTGGCCAGAGGGGCCCCAGTAGCTTCCTTACCTCCCCATTCCAAGATCTGTACATACCATTGAGGTCCAACAGGATGAGGGGGCAACCCCCTCTGGGACTGGTGCCCCTGCCGCGTCTCTCCCGGCCACGGGATCTCTCTGTCCCGCCTCCTGCCCGACGCCTCTCCTGAGGGTTAGAGTGGTAAGGTAAGAGCCCGTTGTCTGGTGAGCGCTTACAAATCTCAATATAAATAAGGAAACCTGGGCTCAGGGAAGGAAGAGGGGCTGTCTCAG